TTCACATATTACCTTGTAATCGCACATAAATTGAATACATAAGCAAGAAAAGCACGGTAGCATCAGTCTTACCAGTAGCCAGCTGACGGTTGGATGTGGCACTGCACTTGGCACTGGGCACCACAAGTGGACTTGCTCTCCAAGCAAGGGATACTTCGGCTAAATTTTAAGAATAATGCGCATAGAATTTGGTTATCGAAAATGTTTGACACAATTCTTTTATCTAAAATGGCTAAACAGCAAAACCCGCACACCATTTTTTTCAGCAGGAATAAGATTGCTTTTTCAAGAGTTCTTTAGCTATTCAAATGCAACTTCACCTTGCAAAAAGAAATAAAATGCAAGAAGCGCTGCCTAAGCATAAGAAAAGATGAACACCAACTCTTTCCATCTTTGGAACTTCAAATACAGTATTTGCTTTTAATTTTATATCAGCTATTTTAAAATATTTCAAACAGCTTAGATTGGTTTCTGCTATCAATGAGAATAAAAGAATTAACTCAGGATGTCTCCTATCAAATCTTACTTACAAATAAAGATTTGAAAGATGATGTTGATGTTTTCTTTTGCAAATGATAATGGAAAGCAAATTTTAGAAAATCACAGAGTTGCTTCTTTCCATTTTTTCTCCTCTTCTTTGCTTAGTAGGCTTGAAGAGCTTAACCCAAAAAATTCAAAACGGCTTTTTTTGATTAAATTGACTTTTCAGTACTGAACCATCAAATGCAGCACTATCGGTGGAAATTTACACTACTATAGACAGCAGATGTTTCCAAAATTACATGTCGCTCACCTCTACTCTGATATATCCTTCAGCTGGTACTGGATCTACATAGGCTACTTTCAATGCAAACACTTCGCCTGACAGACCTGTAGCTGCATGCCGGCACCAATACAAGCCCTCATCATCTAAACAAAGGTATCTATTTAGTGAGGTACCAACGCTATGTTTAGGTGACCAAAAAAATATGGAATCGTCCGTACCCTTAGTTATATTGCTCATTATAAGAAATCCAACTTCTGGTACAGGTTGCTCAGTCGTGTAATTTCGATCCATAAATATAGCATTTGTGTCGCTAAAACAATTATCAAAGTGGACGACTAGTACAAAAATGGCACTCTCTAGAAGCTTTTCAAACTCCTTTTTTTTAAAGATTTTTCCTTGCTACTATGATGCCAAGATAAGCATGACATCACAGTAGCAAGAGATTGCCAGTATAGTTCTTCATTAACAAGCTGCGCATATGCGACTTTTGGGACAAGCGCCTTACCTCGAAACTTTGCCCACTTCCTGTCCATCTCGATACCATATCGCTTTGTTCTTCTCGCCACCACCGGAAAAGACCACCTCACACATTAAAGCTGTGGTTGAACGAATAGGTAGCAGCATTTCTGTGGGAGTTTTCCGTGGAGTCGGTGACAGTAAGAGA